TATATATACAGTATATATATATATATACAGTATATATAATGTTAAAGGTATATATACTGATATATAGACTGTATCTGACTTCTGCTTTTTTTAATACCTGTACTAGTGTATAAACTAATGTACAAAGTTTATACCACTTGCTTTTGTCAATTTCCTTTTAAAAATCATACTCACTGTTTGTTTTCTGATGTCTGCTGATTTATTGCAGTCACAGGAAGTGTGTTGCTTAGCTGCAGTCAAGTTGCTGGGAAACAGATGCAGATCTAATTGTAATATACAGTAGTTTTAGATAATATGAATGAATGTCTATAATTGATGTCTGTGGTTTGGTGTCTCGGTCGGTTTTTTGTTTGTTCACTAAACTGACCCTCTAATCATGTTTTCTGTCTTAATGTAAAAATTTGTGGTATGATAGCATTTGTGATATGATGTCGACCAATATGATACACACTACCAATTAATGTGATGTTAGTTAATGTAATACAAAGAGTCTGTTGTGCCATATCAGCTAAAAAATTACTCCGCATATGTATGCAACACCCATGAACACAAATTCCCCCACACTTTTTTTGTTTGTTTATGAAATATTTTGAAATATTTGATTATACGTGCAGCTACAAATATAAGTGTAGCTCCATTTAACAGATTTTTACCATGTTAAAATAAATTTCTCAGGGTAATTATGTCCCCACTGGATGCAACGAATGCCTCGTTTATAATGGGTTTTAATGTTTTTGTCTTGTCGCTCTGGCCAGACACGGCATCACAGTATGGTAGGAGCATAACATTTCCGTCACACGCTTGAGGTATTCAGCCAATCACACTGCACTGGATAGCTGGCCAATCAGAGCACACCTCGCTTTTCAGACCGATGAGCTTTGTAAAAAATCGACGCGTTTCAGAAAGGCGGGGCATAGAGGAGAAACAATAATGTACAGTATGTGGAAAATGTTTTTTTTTTTTTTTTTTACCTTAAACCACATAAAAACATTTCATTACACCAAATACACAAAATAATGTTCTTTTTTAGCAGCATCATATGACCCCTTTAAAATATATGCAGAAAATGTGAAAAACATGAGTAGATTTTGCTTGGTCCTGCCAGTGAAATTCAAAATAAATGGACTTATGCCCTAATTGCTCATGGTTAGGTTCATATTTACAAGGTGGAAGATATATTTAGATAACATTTAAAAAATGTAACATGTGCTTTCCTCCGCAGGTAGAACAAGTGAAGCTGCTAGATCGCTTTAGCAACAAGTCCGTCATAGGAACCCTCCATCTGACGGCCACACATCTGATTTTTGTGGAGAGTAATTCAACCAGTGCCCAGGAGATATGGGTATGAAAAGCCCCTCTTAACGGTCTCTAAATGATCTGTCATGACGTGATAAAGAATTCCTGTGTGACCGACAGGGTAGCTTGGATATACAGTACCACCCTTTTTGTTTACAGGATTATAGAGAATTAGATCATGGGAATGAGGTTACTAGTTCCTCACGTTGGCAGTAGGTGTTGTTGCTGTGGAAACCTGTCGGTTGAGCTTGCCCCCGAGGCCAAGTGAATACGAGAGTGTAGGGGAGGCCAGGAGAGGACATGAATACCAATGACCCACATAGCTCAAGACGTGATTTGCCACGTTTAGAGTCCACTGATCGCTCCGTCTCTGTGTGTGAGCGTATGGCAGATGATTAACTTTATCTCACCATCTTCTCCACACAGGAAGCAGATCGGAGGTTAAGATGCTGACTGACACTGACCAACAAAGATTATCATTATAATACTCTTGAGAGGTTTTAATGGTATTATGCTATTAATTCTCTAATTGATCAAACTTCTTATTTTTGTCTGGTGGGCGATAAAGTTCAGTAAGTTTATTTTCTTTTTTTTTTAAGAAATTAATACTTTTATTCAGCAAGGACACTTGCTCATTAAATTGATCAAAAGTGACAGTTAAGACATATATAATGTTACAAAATATTTCTATTTCAAATAAATGCTGTTCTTTTGAATTTTCTGTTCAGCAAAGAATCCTGAAAAAATAAAGTGTTACCGTTTCCACAAAAATATTAAGCAGCACAACTGCTCTCACAAGTTTTCAACATTGATAATGATAAGAAATGTTTCTTGAGCAGCAAATCAGCATATTAGAATGATTTCTGAAGGATCATGTGACAGTAAAAAAAAAATCACAGTACTGTACAAAGTAAAAATGTGATTATTTACACTATTTATAATTAGGTTTATAATAAATATAATATATAATTAATTCTGTTTATACTAGCAGTTTTAGCCTGTTTTTACAAGGGCACCCTTGATCTTATTTTAGTTTATAAGAGATCTGGCCTCAAGAGCACATTTTTGCGACTTTGTGCCAGCACTTTCTAAAAACTAGCTGGCTGGTTGGAGTAACATGTTCACATGAGTCTGGAACCCAACTGAAATAAACTCTGCACTCTCACGTGTAGCTTCTTCACTCTTTTAGGACTGGCTCGCACAAAAACGTCTCTCTGTCTGCCTGCAGTACTGCCTTCTGTTCCCTATGCATTATGCATTACGTACACACTTCAGTGATCAATGACAACAGCACACAGAGTCACGATGCAAATGGAAATGCAGATACATGTGCATTTTAATAATACCCCATATTTTGACCTTCCAAAAGTGCTGTGTAGATAATTTGAATATGGTAATTGTTTATGTGTGTATTAGATTCTCCTTGTCATGTTCTTGCACATTATTTCCTCTTAAAGATAGAGGAACACAAGACGAGGAAGGAAGAAAAAACAAGATTTCAACATGTCTTAAAAAAAAAAAAACAGATGCTTGAAGACCAATCTGACTTGTCATTGTGGCAGGAAATATAGTTAGAAAAATAGTAAACTATAAATTTGTTCCACTAACGTTTGACAACCACAGAGTGATTTATTTTTTATTTTTTCAC